ATATATATATAAAACAGTTTATATTGACAGAGCCTTCACTCCTGCATTAGAAAACAGCCACAGAGCTGATAGAAAACAATGAATCTGTCAATAAAGAACCCTATTAAGCCTGTAAAATATGTCACTGAGGCAGTTTACTCAGTGATAGAGTAGGACTCCCTGAAGGAAACCAGTGAGTCACATTTGAATCCTTTCACATTTCTACTGTACACAAAGCTGAAGCTGAGACTGACGTCATCGTACAGCTGAGACAGTAAAGAGAGAGAGACATAGACGATGTACAGAGAAAGAGAGAGCTGATGGACAGATGATAAAGTGTCAATCTGCTGGGAGGAAAACAGCAGAATATTCAGTCAGATAGACGGCGTCACCTTTCCTCCAGGACAACACACACACACATATATACACTGCTATAAGGAGTCATCATACGTCATGATACAGTTTATAAACACACAATGTCAGCCCTGGTCCACATACTTTTGGCCATAATTATAAATTAGGTTGTCCTGGTCTTCACAACGAGAGAACTAAAACAGATAAACTGCACTCAATCTGAACGCGCTCTCCAACCTCACAGCTTTACTGTCTGCAGTCCACAGCGACTTTATTGAACACCTGCAGCATCACACAGCAGGTCCATTAACACGCCGACTGCACGAAAGTCAGTACATTTGAGTAAAATACAGACTTATACAGATGTGGGGATAAACTCATATGAGGGCTCCTGATTAAAGTCCTGTGTGAATACGTCTCAGCATTATCTAAGAGCTGGGACGCCCTGGTAGCTCACCTGGTAGAGCTCCAGCCTCTTCTCTCTTCTCTTCTCTCTCTCTCTCTCTCCCTACTTTCCTGTCACTCTACAGCTGTCTCTATCAATTAAATACGAATAATAACTTTATTCATTTTAGAGTTTACAAAGTGCTTTGACAGAAAAGCAAAATAACAGTAAATACAAAAATAAAGAATACCAAAATACAATAAGAGCAGAATAGACATGAACATAAAATGTAAGCAAAATAAGTAAATAAAGAAATATAATAGATATAATAAAGTAAAAAGATGACATTAACATCAACTGCTGGGTTAAGATCTCTGCTATATAGCTCAGGGCCAGAGCCAGCTTTAAAAGTGATCAATAAAATCCTAAAATCTGTTCTAAATGAACAGGGAGTTAATGGAGAGGAGCAGGATTTACTGTGATGTGACGTCGTCTGTTAAAATCAATAAGAAGGCAATAAAAGCCCCAGTATGTATGTGTGTATATATATTCTTAGTGTTTGTGTTGTGAAAGGTGATGTATTTCCACTGTCGGCCTCCTCGCGAGCATGCAGCACTAATCTTGCCCTCCTGTCTACCTATCGACCTCCGACCTGCGTTAGATTGCAGCACACAACCGGCTGATGTCTGTAGATGAATTCCCACATGCAAAAGTTGAACATTTGAACCCCTCTCAGTCTCATTCAGTAACACAGAGCAGTTCTTCCCTGTCGGCGGGCATCAACCTGCCTTTTGATCAGATTCACAGTTTAACAGGCGGATTCCTTTAACCGAAGCACTTCTGACAAATTCTAAACTTCCTGCAGAGGTCTGAACTCTTATTAAAATCCCCAGCAGCTTACTTTTCTCCAGTCACACTTTAAATCATTCAGGCTGCAGGTGAAACTCTTTTATATCTTTACCAGAACACATCCTGAGTACGGC